TTTGCTACGAGCCCTGAATGGTATAGTTACGCGGTACGCCATTGCTCTCTACAGCTTCCGTCTTTTCGGTATAATTTAGGTTATCCTACTAAGAGTATCTGCTTAGGTACTCACTCAATAGTTTATTTTATTAGTTCTCTGGTCATGCATGTTCTTAATTAACGTAAAACCTGCTGAATCAACTAAAGGTAATATTGTGGTCGTCACTAGTGGATAGATTGACTCCCGCGGGAGGAGAAGGATATTTATTTATTTAACAAAGGTGTATCATACCAATGTACAAACACACATAGTACCTAGACCATAGGTATAAATAGTGAAGATCTGGTAGAGACTCTGTGGTAGAGGTACCTACCGTGAGCGAATATACGTAGGTAGTTTTAAGAGGTAGCGAAAATAATCTGCATACTGTGTCAGCTAAAACTTTAGTGGTGGCCAATTTTGTCAAATTCTAATAGGCCAGTTTATCGGCTTAACTCAAATTCTAACGAACCATCGGATTCCAGGATACTTTTCGTACTAGTCAGTGACCGAGTGAATAATTAACGCAGGTATGATTTTAAATTGATGTTCATACATAAGTAAGTAAATAGTCAGTTATATTCGGTCAATGTCATCATAGTGGGCGGATGCGAGCGAGCATAATTCAGTAGGTACCAATGTTTACCTTATTCTAAGCGGTTAAGAATACCCATTGCACCTAAGGAAAACAAAGACAACGGAAATAAGTTCCAATGTTTTGCTATTGCGCAGGATTCGAATCTATGAATGACACGCAGCAGTCAATTATTCTTTTAAGTAAATCGGTAGGGTATATTGTAACGTCCGGTTTACGTTAAGATTTCACTTAAAACAATGTTTTAGCAATTGTTACGGCGGCCTTGGGCTTGGCATTATCATTGCCTCCATAAAACTCATTACCTAATTTTATTAAACGTCAGTCAGCGCCACCTAGACGCGTTTGAACACAACTCTTAACTAGAGGCGCACTAATAAAATCATTGACCAACGGATAATTTATTCAACTATTTGTAAACTGTTCCGTTGTTTAACTAATAACGTTACGTTGTTAAAGCGAATAGTGCACCTGTAACTTACATTACAGGGGTAAGTACCCCTACACTCTTGGAACAACGGATATTGTCCTCTAATGAAAGTCTACTTAGTAATCTACAGAAAAAACACCTAACCGTAATTCAAAAAGGGCCAAGATTTTGCCATTACAGAGAAATTATTGAAAATCCGAACCTGGAACCTGGTTTTTGGGGCTTTTACACTTCCGACCACTCTATCAACGAGACAGTCTAAAAGAGAGACTTATTCGGACGTATAAACATGGATAACTGGACAAAAATGGGCCTTTATTACATTGTAGGTACTTCTATGTGATGAGATGAGCACGATTGATATGATTACAAGAAAAAAAAACTTAGGTATAAGAAAGCACTCACATCGGTACCTACCTACTTACTTTATTGCGAAAGTAAATAGAATAGCATACTAATTCAGCAGTGTTTTGTAACTAGGCTAAGAGTTAACTGTTGCGAATGATATTTGCTATTGTTATTTTATTCTTATTAATATTATAAAAGTTTGGGAGTTTGTGGAAATAGCTGAAGAGCCTTCCCCAATCTCCCAAATCTTTGAATCCCCAACAAACCTCACATTTCTAATCCCCAAAAGGCCGGTACCGCACTTGTAACGCCTCTGGTGTTCCAGGTGTCTGTGACGCCGATTGCTTACCATCAGGTAATCCGTCAGCTCGTTTACCCACAAAAAAGGAATCGACTGGAATTTTGGAACAGAGATATATTATGGTCTAAATCTAGAATAACACATGGCATTACCCCACGGGAACGCGGGCGAAGCCGTGAGTGAAAGTTAGAGTAAGTGTTTATTTTATACCAAAGCGATTCGTTTGCAATAAACATAACTTGCAATATCGATTTTTCTGTCATAAATACTGGAAACACTAGCAACTACTAATTAACTACATATCACATAGCAATACAATAAATAATTAATTTTGTTATAAATGCATGGTAAACAAGTGCTTTCACAATAAATGGAGGTGCTGGTGTAGCATAACATGCAATTTCAAACTAATGAATGTTACCTATGACTTCCATACTCAATTAGCTAGCTCATTACAGGTAGCCATTATTATTGCTCATGCATTGTTGAGAACAAAAACGATAATTTTCTTTTATGCTACTAGGATCAATATAAGAAATACATAATGACTTATAAAAAACTTTTTATTGTTCATATAAATTAATATTAACAAGATGTTGATGTACATAACTAATGGAGTGAAATAGAAAACTGCTAATGTTATTTGGTTTTAATAAACAACCAAAACATCCATTTGGGAAACAAACTCAACAAATCAATTGGCATACTCTCAAATCTCATGATGACTAAAATGTATGAAATCACATAGTTATAATAATTATAGGTATAAAAATCACAACTATAATAATTCCACGTAAGTACGAAGTATTCCAAATTATGATAAATAATTTAATTGTATCAGTCATGTGTTTTCCGAACAACATTAGCGGTCACCTAATTATCTAACTATGAACTAATGAGCCTTCTTTGGCTTTGCTAATTTCTCATATTTGCTCTTGGAAGAGAACCATAAGCCGAAGGGGATGGCTAGAGATGGGAGGGTCATGACTGCGAACGCAGCCCAGTCTAGGATGTGGGAAGAGAACTTGCGGTCGTAGTCCTTAAAGGCAACGATAGCACCTTCTCCAGGAGAGCTGCTGATTGATTGCTGAACCTGGAATGAGAATTAATTGTTATAAGTTGATTGGATAAAAAACACTATAGTTTAATATTTGGATAGTTCTCGTAGTAGGAGCAAGCATTATGTTTTATAACTTATGTGTGGCGACTGGCGAGTAGCAATCTATGGCCAGCAGTCTTAGGATATGTTCATGAGTATAATTTTTAAATTCTTCTGTCCTTATTCACCTCTTGGTCCCTATTCACTCCATTTTACATTAGAAATATTAGAAAAATAATAATAGAAGATTTTATTATAGAATATAATATGAAGATAAATAAATAAAAATGTCAGATTGTTGTCAACAATTTCTATAAACAAGAATTGTTATTTTGGGAATGCTCAAAATTGCACCAAAATCAAGTCTTATAAGAATGATCTTGATATTCAATGTAACTAGTGTAAGTAGTACCTTTAAAGAGAAAGTACCTAGTTACTGTAGCATAATTTTTCATTGTTTTGACCATATGCTGAGATTTGAGACAGTTTCTTGAAATAGTACATGACTGAAAAGTGAAAGTAAGTGAAGTCTTACCTCAGTGGCATCTTCGGTGGCTTTGTATGTGACTTCAGCAGATGTGAAGTTGAAATATCCGTATCTGCTGGACCGGACGGTGACGACGTGAGAGACATTGGTCTGAGGAGGTATCCTGTCGATGTGCGCTGTCAACTGACCGCCAACAACTTGGAACACTTCAGGGTGGAAACCATTGTCAACCAGCTTCACGTCTACAGCGGGCGCGGTACCGACGTTGAATAGCGTGTATTTAACCAAAATATCCATATTTTCCACTAAGTATTTGTTCAGCACTTGCTTCGAAACAAGTAGCCTGGCGATCGCTGGTTCATCTTCTGCTGTCACAGCAGTCGCGATGATGAGGATCAAAGATAGCAGCTTTGCGCTCATTGTGCCTGAAAATTGAAAATAGAAAAAATATAGTTGGGAACTGAAATAGGTTGGAGACGTAAGTATTCCAATTCGAAAATTTTGAATGAAAAACACTTGCACGCTATTTTTATTTATTAGTTACTGATAGAAAGTTTATTACTTGTAATTTTTAGATGAAATTTATTTAAACTTACCTTATTTTATGCTTATTATTAAACAACTAAAATCAAATTCGCTAAGCGGCACAGAGATGATCGGTGACAGTCGTTCGTACGTGGCTGACGTTTCACTCCACGCAGTCAAAATACTTGCCAGGAATAAAATAGAGGTACAGTTACAGTAGCGTTCGTTTTTTTAACTAGCACCTTATGATATAAATATGTTTTAATTATCAATAACTTCAAATTGTGCACATAAACGCAACATTTATTTATAAAACCAACCACAAAATTAAAAGATCATATTATTATAGTAAATAATTGCTATATTTTTTAATTTCCTGACATAATTAGGGCAGACGAATTTAGAACGCGATTGTTGAACGCAGTTTCGCAACAACTGTCAAAAATACGTGTTTGTTTTCTCGTAGGTTGAGAATTTATTGAAAATGGATATCTGTGGATATTTGAAATAGATTTAATGAATATTTATACGTTAATGTAGTAGTTAATTAATAACTAGCTGTAATTTAAACTATGACAGAGAAAGAAGATGTTACCAATGAACCTGAAAAAGAGCCATTAGACGATGAAGCCCTAGAAAAGTGAGTTAATTACTATGTTTATTATTTTACTCGTCTTTTTCAGTCGTGTAAAATGAAAACTAAGTTCCCAGACTCATAATTTGTTTATATCTTTCAATAAACTGTTAGGCCACTATTCATTTATGGATATTGTTACATTTCATTGTCAATGTAGGTAGGTTGTTATTGTTAATCTATACAAATAGTCTAGACTTGTAAAGTAATTGAACATTATGTTTTATTTTCATCGACTTTGATGAGATAAATGTTAACCACGTTTGATTTTTTATACAAAAAATATGGTTTACCAATATTTTTCAGATTGGCAGTTGAAGAATTATTAAGAGAAGCAGTTCAAGGTGCTGCTAGGGCTGAAATAGTTGGCCCGTCTGGTTGGATCAAAGCTCCACAAAATAAAACTAATAAGCGCTTCTTAGTTAACACTTTGCGTAATGCTGTAAGTTCCAATAAGTATCACTCCAGGTCACGCAGATCACATTCGCACAAATCCCCTAATCGTGAAAAACATCTAGAACCTTCAATTAAAAAAGATAGATCCAAAAGAAAACATTAAAATGGAGGAATATAATGTAGATAATGTTTTAAAAAATATTTTTGATGTTACTGAAAATAATTGGAAAGCTTCTGAGAAGATTCCTCTTGTATCCAAAGAAATAGAACAATTAAAAAATGATTTCAAATCATTACTTGCATCTACCGAATATGATATGACATCAATACTCCAAGAGAGTGTCGCTTTATGTAATGAGACACAGAGTCTTGCTGAGGAATTGGATTTATGTAAACTAGAGATAGAACAAGAGACGATGGCTGATGTTCTCAAATCTCTGGCTAAACGAGATGAGATACAACATGAACTAACATCTGTTAATTTTGCCATTGATGTAGTCCATGATGTCCTCCTTTGTGGGAACTTTGTGAAAGAGATTGAAGACAGTAAAGAATCACAGAGCTTCAGTAGAGCTATAGAAGCTGTTTATGATCTCCTGCAGCACTCCGAGTCTCCATCTGAAGGATTTAAATACCTAGAAGTGTACAACACTACAAAATCCATTGCTAATTCTATTAAAGACACATTACTTACTGACCTGCTTACTGAGTGGACCCGTATGATGACATGGAACATTAAGGCAGGTACTCGCAAAACTGTTATCACTATAACATTGTGCTTTGATGAATCTCTTGCCGTGGTCGATATCCTGAATGCTCTTGATAGAAGTGGAGCTTTAGCCGATAGAGTATCAGAATTCGCCCAATTTTTACTGAAAGAAGTTCTGGTACCAATTATACACACCGAGGTGACTGTTTATGATGAAACTCCTGAACTGATGACTGTCACTATAATGCACAAAACGAATTATACACAAAGATATGATGCTGTCATATCTAACTTAAGATTACTCTTCCATTACTTGAACAATAAGCTGAATGTTGACTTCAAGAGAGATACAACAATCATGAGAATGATTGGTAAAGAGATCAATGCAGAATTCAAAGAAATACTCACAAGAGATTGTCTGCTTGATACCATACCAAATAACATAAATGATTTGCAGACTTATGGACGGATCACTTCAGAAATTGAAGATTTTCAGAATTTCTTAGTGTTAGTCAAGTTCTGTAATGAGGACTATTCAATTTTGCAATATTTAGACAATATTGATGTTTTGTTTGCAAATAAGGCGAGCTTGCACTTCTTAGAGACTGCCAGGACTATTATGCTGAAAGATTTGAGTGCTACAATGTCCATCGGAGTGGAGCATGTTCCTAATGAAGTGCTTGAGATAAAGCCTGATGAGGAAGGTGCTGAAGCTTTGAAATTACTTGACAAAATATTTCCTAAGAGTTTGTTCTTCTTCCCGAGGTGCATGATATCGAAGACAGCTCAAGAGTTATTGGATCTGTTGTATGGAATGATGGAGCAAGCTGTGCAGTGTTCAGATACAGTCTGCAAGAAATTATACAATACCACAAGGCTGGTGTTTGAGCTGTACGATGCTGTGGTGCCATACCACCATGAGAACTATTTGCAAACTATCCCTCAGTATGTTGGTAAGTTATTATAATACCTATATTATCGGTTCAGTTTTATTTTACTGACTCACACTGGTACTACCTGCTCTGTCTCTCATTCCAGCGCTGTTCCACAACAACTGTATGTTCCTCGCGCACAACCTCCAGATATTTGGCGATAAATGGCTGACTCTCATGGAGGGACGAGAGTTGGACTATCCCATTGGCTTCGTTGACTTGGTGCAGAAAATGCGCGACCTTGGCTACAAGCACCTCACCATACACATGCAACAACAGAGGAAACAGATACTTGACAATATTAGGTCTTCCGGTTAGTGTGTATAGTTTTTCTCTATTTTCATTCTTTTTTTTAATTTTGTACACTAGGATTTTTTCCTGTGTCGTGCGTAAGTTTACAAACATAACACACATGACACCCCAGACGGGTTTTGTAGATCACACAACAATTTGTAGACCACAAAAGGAGTAGCTCCGTGCGGGAATCGAGCTCGCTACCAACCGTGCAGTATAGAATCTAGGAATTAGAAAATAGTTTTTATGAGATATTTAGGTAGCCGTAATGGCAATTTTGTGGTGCTGGTGAAAAATAAAATTAGTTGTTCACAAGTATGTAAAGAAAAAGGTTTTCTTAAAAGTATACTAAAATACAAACTGTATTATAGGAAATTTTTATTTAAAAAAATATAAAAACCTTTCGACTAACGTTTTTCAATAATCTTTTTCCAGATCTCAACTGCATCGTTGTGAAAGACGTGTTGAGTGATAACGCGGAGGCTGCAATTCGACAGTGCCTTCGACAATTGCATTTACTGAAGAATGTCTGGATCGGAGTCTTCCCAAAAAATGTTTTCACAAGGTATATTTTCGGAATTCGAATGTCTCAATAATCATTCTCCCACTGGGTAGACCTGCTCCATTGTTGGCTGCTTACCACAGACGAGAGAAAGTGGTCAAAACGGCTTTTTAACTCGTTGAGTACCGTCATTATAGACACAAGTAAAGAACAATAGGTTACGGTCACCGGTGACCACGCAGTGTTTGACAGTTTACAAGATATTAATAAAAAAATGGGTGTATTTTTTTCCAGACTCATGGCTACCCTAGTGAATATGTTCTTGGACGAGCTGATCCACCGCGTGTGCACAGTGGAGGATATTTCCATGGAGATGGCCACACAACTGACTGAGATGTACACTATTGTTGTGCAGAAAGCTCCACAACTGTTCCAGGTAACTTTCTATATAAGAAAATAAGGCCCACACATTAGAGAGGAGGAAGGGAAAATTAGTCGTATATAAAGTTACGCCATTAAAACTAAGATCGCTGCGCTGTGCCGAAAAATAATTATCTCATGTTTTGTATTCATAATATTATAATGTCTACTTGAAATATAATTTATTTGCAGGCTCCAACAGATATTGAAGAACATGTAAAATCCTGGATTAAGCTCCAAGAGTTGATCTTCATACTAGGCGGGTCACTCAAAGATATTGAAAATCACTGGAAGGACGGCACTGGCCCCTTAGCGGTACATTTCAAGAATGAAGAACTCCGCAGTCTCATCAAAGCCCTGTTCCAAAATACGCAGATGCGTGCGAATCTTCTATCCAAAATAAAGTAAAATATTAATATATTTGATGTCAGTATAACTCTCTATTCGTGTTTTATAGTGTTAAATGTTTTAATATTTGTCATTTCATTTACAACTTTTAAAAAATGGGGGTTACTGTATTTTTGCTTAACAGTTGGCGCTAGTGTGAACCTTCTGGTTTACGTTCAATTGGGAATTAGTCACGCCATTGGAAGTTCAATCTTTTACAGCTGCAGTGATTGGACAAAAAACGGTAACCCCCCTTGTGTGAGAATTTAATGTCATTTAAAACAATATGACAATAGATACTACCTAAATTGTAAAACATAATCCAAATAAATGTATACAGGAACAAAATATTGTGATTGTATTGGTTCCACTGTTTTTTTTAATTTGCGTTTCTTTTATTACTTTACCTTTATTGAATTTAGGGACTACTAGTTTTACCATAACTTTTAATTGAAACCAATGTTGAGAACTAATATCGATATAATCATATATCGATCGCATAATTACTATACGTCATGCATCATGGATTATGAGATCCTATCGTTGCTTGAAATTGGTCGAGTTCAAGCACTACCCTTGCCTAATTCATTAACCTACTATGTAGTACGAAAACCTTTAGTGTGAAAACCTTTTTAGGTTTTTCCGAGGTCGTTTTCTCAACTTCTACAGAAGATTCCATAGCCTTTATCTAAAAAAATCGTTTCTTTTGAAGTAATGGATCGTGAAACGTCATTTTCACAAAGTTTGACTTGACGTTTCATCTTTCAAAAATTACGCGATTTTGTATTGGAATGTCAAAGTATTTGTTTTCCGCATTATAACCTAAAAATACAAATTCTTTTATTTGAAATGTGCTAAATAATAACAAAATGAATAAAATTAAAGTGGTATTACGAAATAGGGGTCTAAATGTGGTCCAGGGCCGCTACTATGCAACAACAAAAAAGAAAATTCCTGATCCTGATGAGGAGGAATCTCTACCAAGTACTTACTACATATTTCATTAATATTTTTTATTATTGATTGATAACTAAGAATCCATTTACATGCTTTGTTTATAATTTACAACTATTAACTCGTCGAGTACCGGTTTTATAGACACAATTAAAGAACAATAGGTCGCGGTCACCGGTGACCGCTTGGTGTTTGACAGTTTAAATTAATTAATATACTTCCCCGAATGTTTATAACTGCATACATTACACATAAAAATAATATTTTTGTTCCAGCTTAGATAAAATTTATTCGTGCGCAGTAATAACTTAAATTCATTAAAAATTGTGTAGTAAATCATAGTAATAGTAAATCATACTTTGATATTTGTGTCAGTGGATCATCCAAGGGACAGATTTATTTATTTGTTGACTAATTTCTTGAAACAGTTTTTCAGTACCCTACAAGCAAGTCGTCAGATCGGAATATGTACTCATGGGGGCTTGCAGAGACAGGAGCGTTAGGCATACACATGCCTCGAGGAAATAAGAACAGAAAACAATATAGGAACAACTTCTCACTCTGCTGGTACCCTATGAGATCTAGCTTTGCAGAGAGATTTGATGTAAGTCCCTTAGAAAAAATATAAAGATTACTCAGTTCACTTAACGGTGCAGCTATTAAAATGAAAGGAGTATTCTAGAATACATTAACTATGCCTATAAATAATTATTTCAGGTAGAACATATTGCTGCAGGGTACGGCTTCACAGTAGCTTCCATAAAAACAAATGAGCAACATAAAGTTTTTGGCACAGGCATCAACACAGACTCGCAAATAGGCTATCATGCCCCTCGCATGGGTCATCCCTTGGAGTTACTACTTAGTCCTGCACCAATATTTTTACCTTATAAGTCATTGGAAACTAAGGTATTGTTTTATTACTGAAATTTATAACAAAAGTAGGTATAGTATTTGTAATTCTTATAAAATGTGACACAGGATTACTTGGGATTAAAAGACACTGGCAGTATAGTCGACACCATTGTATTGGCATAAACTGTACCAGGATTAATTGACACTGGCAGTAGTCGATGCCACTAACCGCTTGAATTCACTGATCTCTTTTTGAGGTCTTGCATGGATCCACGCTGAGACACACAATGGGTTAAGGATAAAAAATTATAGGTCTAATTCCTATGCCTCTGCTACATTTATTACATTTTTCCCTTATTATAAAGGTGATGTGGTCTCTAAGTTTCTAAAACCCCTTTTAAAAAAACTAAGTAATATTTTTTTCAGATCATCGGCATAGATGCAGGCCGGGCTCACTCAGTTATAGTGACAGATAATGAAGGAGTATTTACTCTAGGCAATAACGCATATGGCCAGTGTGGTCGTAAAATCAATCCGAATGAGGAGTACAAAGGGAGCATGGTGTCTTATAATATCAAGAAGTTGGGCAAAGAGAAGATTGCCAGTGTCTGCTGTGGGCAAGATCATACGTGAGTATGTGGATTATGGAATTATTTGTAAGGATCTGGTGTTGGGAGTATAGGATATATCTATTTTGTTATCATATCATTCCTGCAGTATTTCTTGATATGGTAATAAATACTTACCTCTTGATGTTTTATTTTTTCAGCCTATTCATAACTGAGAGTGGCAAGGTGTATGCTTGTGGTTGGGGAGCTGATGGCCAGACTGGGCTCGGTACATTTGATAACCAAGCTATACCAGCCCTAGTGCAGGGCGACGTTACGTCGGAAAAAATTGTGAAGGTTGCATCTACTGTTGATTGTGTACTGGCTTTAAATGGTAGGAATATAAAGTAAATATTTGTTGATACTTACTTAGGCCTTCATATTTCTCAAAGTGATAAGAAAGAGTAATACAGAAGTTTATTAGGAGTAGTTGAAATCCAAAACATAATTAAAACCAGAACACCACCCTTTACTTTTTAAATCAACTAAAAATACACTCACTTACGTAAATGTATTGGAAAAAAGCTCAACTAGTTTCGAGTCACATTGGGACTCTTAAGCAGCGAGCGCGGACCAGGCGACAGTCCGCGAAGCCATCTTACTTTTTATCACTTGTGTGAATGCGAATAATCGCATGGGCCGAACAATGGGAGTCCTAAAAGTTTAAAATGTTTTTTGTTTATTCAGACAGAGGTGAATTGTTTGGTTGGGGCAACTCGGAGTATGGTCAGATTCCAATGAAGTCTGGTACGCAACAAGTGAACATGTCATACTCTCTGCGGGAGTTTACCCGTGGCTTGGGCAAGATAATTGACATAGCAGCTGGTGGTTCATTTTGCTTGATTGTAAATGGTGAGATACAAATAATTTATTTTTTATAATCTTCTTTCAAAAACATTATTGACCGTTATTTTCTATTTTCACAGAGGCAGGTGATGCTTTCGTTTGGGGTTTCGGTTTGTTAGGACTCGGCCCCAATGTGGAACACTCAAAAATACCAAAGCAAATACCGAGTCCTTTGTTTGGACGAAATGAGTTTAACACAGAATCTCGAGTGGAGAAGGTAGCTTGTGGCATTGGGCATTTAGCAGCTATAACTAATGATGGACATTTATACATGTGGGGTAGAAATAGACAAGGCTGCTTAGGCCTTGGTTCCAGTAAAGACCAATACTTTCCGCTGAAAGTTTCCATTGGTGGATTTGTTATGAAAGTTATTTGCAGTGTAGACCATTCTGTTGCAATCTGCAAGCCTTTTACGTAATTTATTGATATTTTCTAAGACTTGTTAATAAATAAAATATTATGTTACAATATGTTATGTTGTTTTATTTCTTGATACAGATTTATTGAAAATGGTAATAAATACAATACAAACATGGATATTATATTAACATCATTACTTGTCTATGATACTGCGTAAAACTTTAGTTAAAATGGATAAGCTGAATGAATGTTTTATAATTATAACAGACAGTTGTTTTACTTATTAGTCTTTAAAAGCTATTACAATAAATTGTAAAACATGACTTATTTAAATATGTATGTTATTAATGAAATTCTTCATCCCATGCTAATATAGAAAATTATGTAGTATGTTTGAATGTGATGAGATGGGGGGGAGGCTTATTTCAGGCTTAATACTATACTATTTCACATAATATGAAAGTTTACCGGATGGGTATAAAAACCTACTTATTATTATGCTTTATTTATAATAGTTTAATGTGGATGTCTATCATACCAATTTGATAATAATTTTAATTAATAGTATTCTTATGTAGGTATGTTCAGTATGTTACATTGAAAGTTTTTATTAGCTAGGAAGTATGATTGATTACAATAACTATTGAAATACTCTACACAAAGTTGAAACAATGTTTATGAACTGGAAATTCTGGTCAGGTGTATATTTACAAACATTGCATAACTTAAATTAGAATACTTATTTTTAAAACGAAAATAGAAATATGGATATGTAAACTCATGTGAAGAACATAATAATATACATTAAATCACATATCACCAGATATTAAATATTTCTAACAGTCTTATTGTCCATGCACTTTCATTCATTGAAAGGGAAAATCCCCAAAATGATTTGGGGCTTCTCCCAATCAATTCCACGTGGACTATTGTTTACACTCATCATGGAAAGGCTCCAGGGTACGGAAGTCACGCCATGCAGGAGGCAGCAGAGATGTGTGGTGGAGGTGTGCTCCGCATCGCTTGCATGGCTCACTGAATAGATTTACATAGCTGTGCAGCCATGTCATGAAAGAACGGACAGCCAGCTCTGGTAATGTTGGAGAATAGAAGTGTAACATAGCAGCATGAGCATTCTCAGTGACTTTTCTGAACACATGGTGCCTTGACTCTGCCCATAGATCCATTGATTCACCATAACCTTTCACCATGACCCACTCCATCAAAAGCCCTTTGAATGCGACTATAGCTTTCAGTACATGACCCAGGTTGATCTGTACAACTGCATTGCTTGCGAATGGGCGAGATATAGTGATTTTCATGTCGCTGTATGATCTGTCAATGTTGTTGATGACATTGTCGACTAGTAGAGGTGCGACATTGTGATTGCTTTGCAGTTTACCGCGTCGTTTGGTACTTCCCGAGTTTATATACGATCGTTTGAGCGAGTTCTGGCTTAGCAGCGTGTGTGCGAACGAACTGTACTCGTGGATTTTATCAGTCCACTTGTAACTGTTTACAAGTTGTGTATAAAGCGCTTGCCGATCCTGTGTTGTTTCTTGGCTTAGGTACGTCGTTGTACCCAAGTTAAAAGGAGCTGTGGGTATGGGTAGACCATTTACAGTTTGTTCCAAGTCTCTCAAGTTGATGTTCACGTTGTTAAGCAGTTCTTGAAGCTCTAAGAGGAACTTATCTTTGCCATCTTCTCCGTGGTCAGCTCGTAATCCATTGGAAAGTGTTTCAAAAACATGACTGACACTGGATCGTAGGACCCTGAGAGAGTTTAGCGCAGAGTTCAATTGATCCACGTTGATCGTAGTATTATTCATTTTGAGATCTGTTTTTATTGATATGATGTTTATTTAACAATCAAATTCTATCAATGTAAAATAGTTTATCACCATCACACAAACCCAAATTCGGCGACTTTACGTTTTGACAATGACAAATTCATAAATTGACATTGACACGTCTTACTTGAATTCTGCAGAGAAGAGTCAAAACGTTCTATTTTTCCAGTGATTTTAAAACTGTAAGGAATAAATATAAACCAAGAAACCACCATTTATTTAACCTACATATAATGTTCAAAATAGTTCATTTCATTGTTGCCGCTGAGACCAAATAAGTCAATGCCGATAGTCGATAGATCAAACTAGCGACATCTTTCGGCGGGTTTATATTCAAAGTTGTATAAGATTTAAACGGTGTGAAGGGTTTTGAAGTAAGAGTGCAGCACTGCATTGTTTTTTATGGTATGCATCGAAAATGATCGTTAGGATGGTTGGACAATGAAACCACTACTTTTTATTCTTAGGATAGCATAAAATGAGCTGCTTTATACGGGTTTAGGAAAAGATAGGATTGTATTTAGAAATATTTTAAGTATCTATTGAGTCTTGTAGTAGGTAACAAGATACTGCTGAAGATATAGGCTATCTAAAAATTTTCAAAATTGGAATACAACGGTACCTAAATACATTGTCTACTTACTTTCTGGTATTTATCGCAGTAAAATGCCCGTACATTTTGACACTCGGCCTACTCCACTGCGTTCTTCCATTACCTACTGCGAGCTGCGACTCAGCTCCGAATTTTGTATGCAAATGTGAGCAATTTGACGGTAGCCATCTTCCCGAATTAACGTTAAGCTTTTTACGTATTCAAAATGGCTATATTTAATAAAAAGATTATGACGTTTTGATAACATCGGTACCTACTGAACTTTTTGCTTTTACGTTCGATCTAGTTTTTATTTTATTCATAGTGTGTTTTCATTATCTACATATAAGGTTTTGAAGTTGTTACTTTCTCAATATCTTTAAGTTTTACTTAGATGGAATACGTTTGCATGCTTAAGTAATTTGAAGGCTTGCTGCCGTTCTAATTTAGGCGACAAACGCATTTATAATTCTAGCCAAACTTGCTCACAATAACGACAAATACGTATTGTAAAAGTTACAGGGATTGTCAGTCGGTTTTATTAACGCTTGCTGTCGCCCAAAAGTTTAGATTCGCTTTTGATTTGATTCAAAACTTTTTGGACAGCGCTCCAAATTATATTCGACATTTTGATGGCTTGTAGGGTTAACAGCAGGGAGGATTTATAAAATCTTTAGGTTTAACTGAAAAGTACCGACGAAATATGAAATAGTGCTCTCAAACTCGGAGGAATTGTTTTTCCATGGCATTTACATAGAGGTTGTGGTATCCAAATAATAATCCTTCGTGTTAAATGGGGAGTCAATTTTACCATATTACCTACGTTTGGTGGCTATCATCCGGAGAGACTATCAAAATACTTAGTAAATACTTAGTAGACTTTCACACTCGGGGTTATGCTTATGATTAGAAAACTTGGCAACTTAACCTTTTTCTGTTAGATGTAGAAGAATATTCGGATATTTTAACCTTTCTAATTGCCGACTTGGCATACTTCAGCGTTTACGAATCAAAGTTACTAAACGCTGTTTTCTAGCCACTTTGATGCCAACAAGTAAAGTTAGTCTTTTCTAAACTCAGCTTTTATTTATGATAAAGTTTACATTGAATGTAATAGCAGTACATGCTTAAACAAGTATGTTAGTAAACTGTAAACAAAACCAACTATAAATTAAAAACGAAATAAACATCCAAACCAGATATCCCTTGCCCTTTGTTTACTAATCACTTTAATACTTACATTTTAGAAAATAATCTTAAATGTGAAACGTCCCAGCTTAGTATCGCTCGCTAGTATACAAGAAATACACATACAATACCTATGATATACCTACAAACGTAAGGTGTATATCCCGCCTCTCACAGCCACACAGCGCGATGCAAATAAAAGCATCGAATGAAAGTGAAAAATATTATATTTTCCGCTCTACTTACTGTGATCGTTCTCATGTACGAACATACTTCATACTTTATTTTCCCGATGGATAACAGAACACTTTTATTCAATAACGATTTTGTAAAATAAACCGATGATATTGTTTGTATTCGTAGGTATAATGTTTATGAGAAGTTTAAGAAGATATAGAGATAGAAGAGTGTTGTCTCCAGCTTCCATTATCTGTGGCATGCTTCAGAATGTCTACCCTGGTCACAAGACGAAGACCTACTACATAGCATGGAAAGGCAAGGACACCATTTTATATTTTATACTTGAATTAAAATATATAACTTCACGCCTGTCTCCTATAGGGGTTAGCAGGGACTAGGGAACGCCAATTACTACGATTCCTACATTTTTACGATTCTTTCGCTTCATCAACAGTCATCAATCTTTTCATGCACACTCGTCGGTTAAGGGTACTGGTAGGTATTAAAATAATTATATTAAAACACATTTTTCAATTCATATGAAGGTTGAATAAATTTGATTACAAATATAATGGGTGTAGTATTATGAGATTGTTTGAATATGCTAATTAATAAATTAGAAATTGATGTTGGATTTAATAGTTTTGCCATTTCATACTGAGTAGTACCTACGACAGATAAACTACAAGCTAAATGGAAAATATTAAAGATTGGTGAAAATAAGAGGTTCAAGGGTACTAATAACTGCCCGATATACGACATAAAGATTAACGACACGTCGAAAAAGATAAACTTTTCAGCTCATCATAATAACACTACTTGACACCTAATATCACAAAAATCACGACCAATGAGAGGAAACTGGAAACTTCAACATCCCCAAAAACCATAAACGGAGTCCGTTATACCGGCTAACGAGAGTGGACTATACACATTACGTACTATAAGGTAATAACCATCCCACTTAATTGGCAGTTAGTGATCACAGGCTAACCATTCTTCAGGTTTTATACATTACTTGTCTTTTACGATACCCAAAGCTACAGCAATGCACTGATCAAAATATAAACTGAACTTTATTTCATTACCATTACGATTCTTTATCAAATGGCGTATAATTTTGAATGCTTTAATGTACTCAGTTATCATTAAAATAATAATAAACGTGCGGTAACTCTGAGCGTAGCAAAGTTTGCTACGCGGTTGTAGCTGGCGTAGCACTAGAAGCTACGCCGTAGCGCTCGTGTAGCGTGACAAGTTATCATTGAATTTATTTGTGTAATTTTCAAAGCGGTTTAAGCTCCTAATGTTTTAACTACATTATTACAAAACTTAGAAATATGTTACAATAATGTAGATAGCATTTCATATCGTGTTATTGCAGTTTACGGGTTAAACATGCAATTTTTCACTTTAGGGGACGTCACACATAACTGGTTTTCGTCATGAAAATCCATCTGGATCGTTTACCTGCATTTTATATATGGCATAAACGGGGCGAAGCTTCGCAGATGTGTATGGTAATATGTAGGATTTGTGCAGCAGTGTGGCCCAAGCCCCAGGCAGGCGTAATGTGCACAAGGCTTTGCCTGGCGTTCATAACTTTTGCAGCGTGTTTTTTAAAACTCTTTTTAAACGCTCAACTTTAAAATTGGAATCATCTTACCTCGTTCAAAATTGAAGCGCAATGTTTTTGTGTTTGCAGTCTGCAGCTATTAAAGAAGAGTGAAAGAGATGGAAACTTCTTAGTTACAACATAAATAACATTAAACCATTCATAAGTGATGGTGTACAATTAGTATTTCGTTTTTGAAAAAAAGAAACTAAAAGTATATATAAAGATGTTTCTTCGTAACTAGATTTAGCATTACTTATTCATGTCATTTGAATATCAACATTTTCATGTATATAGCTAAATTACATTACGCAAATAAAATGTGGCATAATGTCTGAAACTAAAGTAAAACATGGACATAATATTTACATTTAATTATGAAAAATGTTGAGTCTGTGAGAGGATTCAATGTTCAAGTTCATTTATAATTGAATATGCGAAAATGTTTTATAGAAAAAGAAATAATCGTATTAATTTTGCATGCGAACTCGTTTTTAGATATTTAATGATTTTGATAAGGCTCGATTGTATATTTTTACATGGCAATGTTTACGTCTGATTGCTATAAAGTTGCACTGAGCACAGATCGCATCTACGGCCTGGCTGAAGCTTAAATTTTATCACAAAGGACAGGCGGTCATTCACCCCAAACTTATTTTGAATTTATTCTATCTGTTTGTGGTTATAATAATTGTCTAGTTTTATTAAGTAACTTTATTTATGAACCACTTTTTATACTGAAGATATTTTACTAAAACCAATATTTAGTATAAAAGAATACTTTTTTATTTCAAGCTTAGTTTTATAAATAAGATCACCTTCATACGGTTAGGTCGAGATAGGCTTTTCCAATTACGTAATTAATCCCAGTCTGATATAGGGATCAAGCCGTTGCTAAATATAGAAAAGCTCAAAATGTTTGATTAATGATCTTTGTAGCCAAAGTAGTATTAATTTTGTTCTAAAGTACTCAAAATTATCTTTCATACATTATATAATATTAACGTCATTATTCTTTGAATTTCTAATTGGTAAACTTGGATATATGTAATAAGATAATTATGAGATATTGAAATCTAAATAATACCTACGTTGTCTAAATAGGAAATGGAATTTTAGTCTCCATGATGCCAAACGACTCCTTGACCTCCTGCCCATCGTTGCTGTATGGAGTCGACCCAATCTTAAAATGCTACATTAAACACTAACATAAGTCTATTATCTAAATAAAGACAGTCTAGTCTATGTCCTTAGTCACTATATTAAGTTTATACATATGCAATAATATGTACGTGTACCTATGTGTTATATTCTCCTTGACCCAATATTTTACGCAAAACATTCTGTCAAAGTTCATTGACGCCACCGAAGTGTGACTGAGGGATAAACAACTAGATTTGTTAGAATCTTACATTTACGGGGACGTACGTACAAAATATTTATTTTGTTTATGTCTAAAAAGTATAAAATACATATAATACTTTTAGCGTAGATTTTCTTGAAAATCTTACTGGTATTGAGAACAAAAATCATAGGTAACCTAATTTATCTAAAAGCTGCTTGCTTACTTTTCGATATTCATCTTAACTTTTTTTGGCACACAAAGCGTTCGGAATAAGCACAGATATCTCACAGAATGCCTAAAAAGTTTGCTTTGAAAATGTTAATCTTGGTAAAGGCGTGGCACAGTGTCGATTTTTATCAATTTTCATTGGCGATCTTAGTCATATTTTATGGGCGAGGCAGGGTTGAAAAACGAGCATTCTCCTCGAAGAATACTAAGTAGGTGGTGTCGAACGTTACGCTCTCCACAAATATAGATTTTGGGAATTTCGAAAGGCTTCATTTAAATAGATAATATTGTGATAGTTTGGACTATAGACTTCGATGGCAATGTAATGAGATTCAACTATTGTGTGAATATTGAGTTTAATAATTTTATTGTCAAGTTTATATTTGAATGTAATTATTAAAACTGAATTATGATGATTATGTATGTATACGTATAGCATTTAACTTTATCAATTTCGGACTATATGTAAAAACTCAAGTATTTTCTTTGTTCAACTGCGATTTGTTAAAGTATTTTGGTTTTGATGGGTGTCATAAATGACGGGAAGCGGGGTAGCCTGTAACTACTTCGGATTAACTCTCATAATATTACGAGCTGAAAAGAATAAGATGACCTACCAAGTACCCAAGTATCAGGCAACTACCAAGTACCAATACCAATTAACAGTTCACCAACTACACTTGAATAAAACATTAATACTAACTAGTCAATTACCAAAACTAAATCACATGCCTACATATTTATTTGATACAATAAAAAAAGAACGAAAACTTTTGTATTAAAAGGAATCTTGCTAAATAGTTCGATTAAGAAAACGTAATAAGAATGACAGTAAACGAGTGAGGCTTCCAAGTTGACCTGATGAAGGAGACGCCAGTAACCTCGGCTGAAGGTAACTTTGACAACATTTAATTCTATAAGACATATTCACTAAGTGTTTTTAATATATTTGCTGTAATTCACGCGTTTATTGTTCAATTTAAAAGATTACGTCTTTGAGTTAAACTGTGTCTTTGAGTGATTTGTTTTTATTGGTGACCTTTGAAAGTTTCTTTAGATAAATGTGTAGATTATTATAAAAGGTCCTCTAGATGTCATGTTATGCCAAGCCTAGTGTAATACTTTAGGTACTCTCAGTAATTAGCACGAACAAATTATTACACTTTACTATGTAACTGCCTTTTTGTTGTCATAAGCGTAATTGTATAAGTCGCAAACGCTCATACACTGCATATTTTATGTTAACTTAATACTTCCTAGTTTTAATAGTAAAGCGGCTTTCACAGTCAAACGGAAATGATCCTATAAGGTTTCCGATATTTCCTTTTGATGTTCGAAGCCATAAAAGCCCAAACTATCGCACCACTTACATTTTACAGATAACCGGATTGGCCCAATACTTAATTCCCCTACGTTTGCCCCTAAGGATTGCCACCTCCCCAATTTTAATCTTCACAGAAAAATAAACAGACATCTGACAGAGAAGTGGCATAGTCGCAATTTTATGCTTAGTTTACCTTTCTCGTTTTCCTCGTTTCTTAATTTCATATTTTACCTTACAAGTTTGATTTTTTGTCTGTCTGTAGTTAAAACTGGCTTTGTGTTTCGTTTGATTAAAATTCAACATTTTCTTTTGTCTTCTAAATAACAAAAGGAATAGCGAGAATATAAATAAAAGAGGAATTGGAATATACCTAATAAATATGTTACAAAATAACATAAGTTTTCTCCTCAGAAGATTTGATAACTACTTATATCGTAATTAAAACAAAGACTAAAGTATTCACATAAACCAATTGTCGTTTTTTTTTAGGAAAATGTACAGTAAAAAATAAGTAGTCAAGTTACAAGCTAATTCGTTCATGGAAGGTTCGGTGGCACCGCGTTATAATTAAGTTTGTGTCAGCTAGCAGCGATCCATCGATCTGTGTGTGTGTGTGTGTGTGTGTGTGTGTGTGTGTGTGTGTGTGTGTGTGTGTGTGTGTGTGCTTGTGTGTCTGTATGTATGTCGGATTGAAGGACAGACAATTTAGTACCTGCCATCTCACGTAGCAAGAAATCAAGCTTGGTTTGACAATATCTGAGATTTCTAGAAGTTTTTTTCATTACTTGGAAATGCATATATCTGCCATTTAACTTTTCCAAAGGATATAACCACAAGTAATACTTGAAATTAATTTAACTTGGTAACTTTCCGCAAATGTTCCCAGAACGCGACTCGTGTTTTCCCTTTACGCACGGATATCTAAAAATGTAGAAGAAAATATTATAAAAATGTTGCCAGTATCGTTTCACGACGCACATCTATTTAGTGACTATAGGCACTGAACACACTCTCGACTTCTTTGCAAAACATAAACAGATTAGCTATCATGATAGTTTCAACAACATTTCGTACTTATACTCCCACAAAGTCTTGTTTTCTCAATCTCCATACTAGCAGCTTCCCACGCCAGGTACTATACATCAAACTTGAATGAGATTTTACGAATTGTTAATGAATAGTCTATCTTGCGGCGTGCTCCCGTTAATATTTTATCGGTACGAAGGGATGTGCCCTAAACGTTCCAAGGGCGCATAAAGATTGGGCGCGAGTCGCCGGAGCGTCACCCGCCCGGGCTGCACCGACCTTGGGCCCTTGCCCTACTTTACGCCCTTCATTTTTATCACCCTTATGATTTTCAGCGAGAGCCGTACATCTGAACAATGTTTAGATGGCGCTTACTATCGAGTGATTATTTTATTCTCGAGATAATAATAAAGGCTTTTCCATGGGGTAGGGCTCAGGTCGGCGGGGTGCCGCGCGCACCTGTCCTGGCGGCTGCGCAGCGGGGCCTGGGGCGCGGGCGGGGTGCGGGGCTCCGGGGGCGGGCGCGCCCAGTCCCGCGCCGGGCGCCGCTCGGGCCGGCCGCACGTTGTCTCAGGCCGCATGAGCGCGCCGGCGTGCTAGCGCAGCGTGCGCGGGTGTGGTATGCCCGCGCGTCGCCGCTATGGCCCCTATGTTGGTGGCCTTGGCGCTGCTGGCTTTGCTGCCCGGTGAGTGTCCGCCTCGTGATCGACGCAACAGGCGTCCGCCGCGCCCCCGCGTTTGTTTACCCCTTTGGGGATCGATTGGCGTGATGGTGAGAGCTGAGGTGTTGTGTGTGTCTAATGGCTATGAGCTGAGCCGTGATGACGGCTGTCGGAGGTAACGCGGTCCGGATGCCGTCCGGAAAATCAGGTTCAAAATTCGGCCAGGTAATCGGTACCCGGGAGAAATGTTGGATTCGGAAAACATTCGGAGTCATTCGCAGACGGTTGGTCTGTTTTATGTTTATAAAGTTAGTAGCGGCACGTGTTGTACTTAGTTTCCATTTCGCCAGTCGGGTCTGTATACGAGGTAATAAAACGCAAAAATTCAGGTTTTACGAGTGAATCTGTACGTAGTTACAGTGATGGTAATGATTTGGTTACCGCAGCTCGTAGCCGAGGTGCCAACTTTATGGTTCTCGTCGTCTTAGTCAGGAATTCGTTTGGGAAAATGTTTTTTACGAAACTAAGTAGGTATCTGTGTTTGATGTAGTAAAATTCTGTTCCACGAGGCGGAGGCGTTTTATACGGTGAGATAGAATGTCAAAACATTTTCTTGTACACGACGAAGTGTGTCGCGGAAAATCTCGTCAGTTTCAGGAATAATGGCTAAGTATAAAGCTCGCACGGTTTCTTTTTAAACTACGCACATGAAAGTGAAAAATCACATCTCGTTTCTAAAGTTAATTAAGTCCTATAAAGTAGGAGTCGCCCCAGAGGCAGGTATTGCGATGAATAAATTCATGAGCACTTGGAAAGTCTCCCGGGACTACAGCCCCTGTTGACTTGCCAACAGGTTACAATCTCGCCTCTCTTTCTACCATGTAATTCAGTTAACATCTTAGAACATTATCGTGAAGGAGCGTTTCACAGAATCCAAAACTAGGGCATGACGAAGGTGAACGATTGAAGTACAGAATTGTGGCATACAAGTACTTATACGTTTGTAACGATTCGCGATGTAACCATTCTTGCGTTGTCAGAAATCTATCGATTGTTCTTCCTCTGTCAGCGTTACGTTGCCGTAACGTAAGTCAGATAGGACATTGATATTGGCTATACAATAGGTTAAGAGGTTTCTTTTTCATTAGTAACGAAAACCTCTGGGCTCGTAGCTTCCAACAGTAAAATTATAAAACTATTTAGAGATATCTTTATCTAGTTTTATAATTTTACTACATATGTATAGAATACATATATATATAGGGATTTTCTATTCATATGTATAGAAAATTTTCTCTATTCAATTTCTTGATATTGAAGCAAAGACCTTATTATCACATTTCTATAATAACGATTTGATCACAGTATAAAAGCTAAAGAAAACAATTAGTTGAGCAGGAATATACCAGACTATAGCATACTCTAAAATGTCCGTCTCTAACAGTAACTGACCTTCACTAAATCAATCAGTTAATAAAAATATTCCACCCAGGTACCTATTGTTCCGAAAAATCCAATAAGGTGAAGAAAATCTCCAACGTATGATAGATTTATTCTTGTTTACCTCGCAGCCTAGATTCCACACAATAAACCCGTAATGAAGATCAAATTCTATGAAAACGAAAGAATGGCGTCCGTTCATTTTTCCCGATAAAATATGCACACAACGTACACCCGTGGAACTCGCCCGACGGACACTTCGAAAGGGTTATATTATGTTTTCTCTCTCAAAGATAACCATATATTACGCCCCCTGGCAACATTCTCTACCTGCACACCTTTCTCTCCCATAATCTCATTCCATTTCCATCTGGAATTCTCGCTTGATTACACAAACAAGTTGATGAAAGATATAAATTCAAAAGAATTTGATGAAAGCTCAAAGATAAATCTAAAGAAATAATTAACGATTCTTTGTTTTGCCAGAGAAAGGAAGCAGGGGACGATGCTTATTACGGGTGACGGAAGCCGCGAGATATTCATAATAAGCTCAATAGATTCAAAAATATAATCAAAAGCTGTAAGTTAGACTGTATGGTACCACGGTGTGGTTTAAAAGATTCGTGTTCCCCGGGGATCATTAGGTAGGCAGGATAATGTGATTCGGGTAAAGGTAAACGTTTTACCGAGGTATATAACTGGTTACCTACCCCATGAACAGATTAGCGACAGCGTCAGATTTAAAAATAACAGTGGATACGACCCGATACCCAAGTAAGTAGGTACCAGCTACTAGGTAAACTAACTATACAAATATAAATGTCCTCATTTGAACATTCAGTTATTTGAATAGTTCAATGGGGTGAAATCTGAAGCCGTCAAAGTATTGTTCTACGATCCTTGAATTGGTACCTAGTGAATGCCCTTGCTGCTGGGCTATTGATTTCTACGTGTGACTTTCCTTTTCAAGTGATTTCAATGAGACTTCACTTCTATTACTGAACTGATTTCGACTCTTATCGAAATTCTGATTTACATTTCACTTACAAGCAAGTAACTTTATCTTCGTTTTGAACTCGCTGGCCATAGACAAAGCAAGAGTATAAAATGAGCACAGATAAAAACAAAAGGATCTATGGACCGTATGATATTTTATCTGCTTACTGGACAATGAAAATAAAGTGACTTTTTCTGATTGGATATAACTCTATAGTCCCTTTTTGGATGAGGACACCTTTTAATTAAACAAATAGAAAACTCATTTTGCTTAAAACTGACTACAGACTAACTAATTGCTTATGACCGGCTTTAAGTGGTTCTGAAACTTTTTCACTGCTTCGAAATCTGTTTCAGCTCTATGAACGAAAATTAAGGTCTCAAGTTTTAATTTGTTTTGTATTATCTTTGAATCGACATGGCTATTCTCGCAATTTAGAGGAGATTAATATTAAAGTGCTGAGTTAAGTCAACGATTTTGTGAATCCGCTTTGCAAAGTGAAGGAGATTTGGACAAACACTGCTTTTGAGGCATTTTTAATATTGTTTAACTAATATTTAACCTTTGTATTATTTGATTCTAATTAAACTATAACACTTCTGACTCACATTCACTAAAGACTTAAATATGAATCAACAACTCACTCAGAATACTAAACCAGAATTGGCAGTAACACAGTCACTAGTAGGTTTTTGGCTTGGTCATTGAGTGCAACATGTGGCAATATATCAGTTGACGCCATTACAATCACGCGCTGTGTTCCCCAACGTTTTGTTAAAGCGACGCCATTTTTATTCCTGCTACGTATTTTTCAACATGGCGAAGAACAAGGAATAACAACTTTGTTCCTTTGCCTTCTTTGGGCGTTGCGTCGAAAAAAAAACGAGTTGTCAATGCTGTCACAGATAAGAAATATCGCGTGTTTTTTTAATACATGGGTAAGTGTATATTTTTATTATTTAGTAATATTATTTACAATTATTTCGGTACATAACAATTATTTTTTTAGTAATCTGTTAGAATTATTTTCTTAGTAATACTATTAAAATCTTCAGTGTTTCTATAAAAACCAAGAACAAACTAATTGTAAAATGTAGACATAAGCCTCAAATGTCTTGAAAACATCGATATTGTTTTGTTTTCCTTTAAAAATAAATAGAAAGGATATTTTCTGGGTATTGCAATACGTGTCGAGCTATCATTTTCGTGCCATTCCCGTTGTGAGAATAAAATCCCACTGCAAATAAGTGAGCTTCAGTTATTTCACCAGGAAATAAAAACAAGAGTGAGATTTGTAATGTATAGCTGACAATAGATTCTTTTCACTTCATTTTTGTAGGAAAATGGAATAGACATTTAGAGTTATACCTAACTCTTAGATCAAAGATTATTAAGTTATCAATTGTTATACACAGATTACGTGCATATAGTTCTAATAAATGTGGATATTAATGTCTATTTCTTACATTTGTAAAGAAAATATTTCCTACAAAGGCTCAGTAACTAATCTCTTTAATTTACCACTCCGTTATTGAAAGCCCACGAATATAACACTGTATTGCTATAATCCCAAACAATCAATGCGGTAATCCTATATTACGAACACGAAAAGGGGGGAAGCAAGTTAAATCCACGTGAATTACAACAGGCAATCAAATTGCTTGAGACAATTAAGAAATAGATAGACTGAATCCATGAATTCTAAGCTATAGTTTTGAAATGATCCAGTAAGAGTACCAACCAGGAGTTAAAAGCAAATAGAATTTGTCGGTATTCGATAGTGACGACGTAATATTTTTATATGGCATATTTTACAGCGCCCCAAGCGGACACGTGCGCAACTAAAATTTGCCATACAAAATAATCACGTCTTCGCTATTGAATGTGGTAAACCCATAGAGGTGCTGTTTCTGGAAATTGTTTCTATGTTAGGATTTACAGTGTAGTGCAGTACGTCGATCTATCATGTTCGTACCATTACCGTCGCGGGTTCGTGATCGTGGGCTCAGTGGTTCGTCGCGAGAGAACGTTTCGCTGACGTGACGTCATTTATCCTGATAATGTTGTATCGGTTTAGTCGGATAGAAAAGTTCGGTGCACGAAACTGTGTTAAGATTTATGATAAGTACCTTTGTTGTAGCGCTTGCGATTTTTCCTAGTCATCTATTGCCTGGTTTAGCTGATGTAAGCGTGACTGTTCTGTATTTGGTGCTAGATCGTATTATCGAGCTAGACTTCACTGAGTTTTCTTTCTTATACAAAATGTCAGTGTTAAGTCTAGAGTGAAAATGATGATAATATCTAGTATTTTAGTTTTTGCTTTTTTTCTTTAAACCTAATCATTCGACTGTTTTTTTTTTTAAATTTAGGTCCCACATGTTATAAGTTAACTAAAAATGAATTAATTTAAGTTAAATATAGGGGGACAAAGACCAATTTTTCAATTTTTCCAAAGAATATTTACTACCACTGCCTCGTTGGCCGAGTGGTTGCAAGTGCGATTGCCGGGCAAGACGTTTCGGGTTCGATTCCCGGGTCGGGCAAGGTATTACTGGGTTTTTAAAAAAAAATCTCAGTAGTGGCAAGT